CTGGGCTTGGAGTAAACTCATTTCTGGCTCAATGAACTGCAATAATGTGGCATCCTACAGGTTCTACCCAAGACAGGTCCAGGTAGCCATCAAACCTGACAGCCAGCAGATCAAGAACTCTAGTAGTGGCACATCAGGTACCATTTCTTACAGTATGGCAAAGTCTTTAAGACTGCAGGGATGGATGTGAAGGCGATCTGGCTGTGACATCTGTCACCCATTGATTGCTGGGGTTGATTCAGCTGCTCTGGCTGGCTAAGCGGATGTCCTCCTCCTCCCCCACCACTCCATGTGCATCCCTCCCAAAGCTGTGCTTGGCTGAAGAGGATGAGCATCCCTGCTAGTGGAGGACTGGTCTTCAGTCAAGGGTACAGCTGAGCTCCCCTGCTAGAACCTCCAAACTAATTCTCAAGACTGCAGGGACAATAGTGAGTTGTGCATGCACTGAGCTCAGTGCATTGCAATGCTCCCACATCGAAAATAATAACTACTTTGGCATTGTACGGGTCAAAAGAGGTCCATGTGGGCCTCAGACCTAAAGGCCAACAGGTTCCAGCAAGATCAGCACCATCAACAACCAAGCTATATAGGACACCTGGTGTCCCCTAATCCTGGGACCGGCTCAAACCAAGTGGAAGAAAGGTTGTACAGACAACGGTGCAGCCCCAGCATGATATCACAGGAGGTAGAGAGTGGTGAGCCAGGAGCTGGGGCTACGGAGACCATGGAATAAATCTAACATAAGGAGCCAGACCTCGAACTCACCGGCACATTGTTAGGGAGCTGGATTGGAAGCAGCATAACCAGGACTCTACCATGCCATTGGCTACTGGGTGCCAGCAGTGTCACAAGCAGCAGCTTAGCATGCTATGCCACAGTACAGTCCCCTTGGCCAGTGTTTTCTTTTTAAACGGATTGGGTATGTCTCTCATTCAACCAGAAAGATGAAGAAGAAATAAACCAAGAGCATAGCCCTTGAGTCAGGAAAGTGAGGGATGAATTGGATTAGTGAATAGTGCCATGGGGCTACAGCATGAAGGGTTTCAAATGCAGAATCCCAGGGAGTGTCTCAAGCAAAGTTCTGCCTGGACACAGCGGTTAGAAAAAGGGGAGGGAGGCCGGTGTCTGAGGAGGTGAGTGCTTGCACCCAGACACTAGTAGCTGATGGAAAGGAAGGGTAAGAAGCTGGCAGAGTGTGCAGCAGGACAAAGACTTGGAGTCTCAGGAGATGTCCTCAGGCCAGAAGAGGGCCCTGCTCAGGGGCACCATGTCCTGGAAGGGACAGGGAATGGAGGATAGGACCTGGGCCTCAGCCTGCCAGTAGACAGCAGGAAGCTGAGCCATGAGGGGCAGCTGAATGATGGTGACTGCTCACCCTGCTGTTTCTGCATGCCCAGGCAGAAAATAAGGTCACCTGCAAGTCTCCCTGCAGGGAGAGTGACAAGCTTCTCTGAGACACTCACTCTGAACAAAGAAGAATCCAGATTGTATAAGCAGCTCTAGTATACAAATCCACAACTGTCACACAAACACGTCGCTGTTTATTCAGTCCTCAGCACCTGCAAATAGGACCAGGTATGAGAAGAAAGGGACTGAACATGAAAGCTGCAAGAACTACTGTTTAAACTCCACGCCATTACCGTGCCAAACACTCTGTCAGCCCTCCGAATGCAGGAAACACAGAGCAAGGAACAGATCCCCCAACTCCAACCACAGTCTCTCGAACAAGAGTGCAGGAATCACTTTGGGGGGATCTGCTGAGCCAAGCAAAGCATCCAGGCCACTCAGTGTTTAAGCTTTGCACACGCGAGCACAGCACGTGATACTCACAGCTGGATGCACAGTCGGATCTTCAGTCCTCACAGATAGTTCAAAGGAGCCTAGGCTCTGTCCAGGGTGCTGACCAAGACAGTGCCGAGAGCACATCTGAGGGCTCTACGCAGAAAGGAGAGCCAGATGTTAATGTCTGTGTGGGGAGAGAGGAGTGGAAGGAGCCAGGGCAGTGATCCACGCTTGGAACCAGAGTAACAGTAAGTGCCTAGAAGTCATTTTCAGGGTCAGGTGTGATTATCACAATTGAGATGATTGATATGACGTGATGGTGTAGCCAAGCTGACATGCAGACTGTTCTGCACACTCCCCTACACAATTGGAGAAATTACTCATCTCCATCAATTGTCTATCATTTTTCCTTCCTTTCCTCCAGTCTCTTAAAGTCATGAGATACACGGTAGGGCAAGAATTCCTGACCTCTATCTTCACAAATGCTTCCACTCCCAGGAAAGTGATGGATCAGGCACGACCCCTTATGCTAGCATCTTTAAACTCAGAATCGAGGCACCTCGATTGGCTCTTAAGATAAACAAGCGAATGACAAAAGAGAAAACAAAAATTCAAAATTTATTTTTACTTTATTTGAAAGGGAGAGAGAGTTGGAGGCTTTCCAACTGCTGGTTTGCCCCACAAATGGCTGTAATAATAGTTGGGGCTAGACTAAGCTGAGACTAAGAGCCAAGAATACCATCCAGATCCCTCTCAAGGAACTCCTGTTCTTGCTCCATCATCATCACCTGCCTCCTCCCAGGTGATGCAGCCGCAGGAAGGTGGATCTGCAGTGGAGCCAAGACTTGAAGCCAGGCCCTCCAATATGGGGTGAAGGTGTGCCAAGGGACAGTCTAACAGCCGTAACTAATGCCCACTGCTCACCTGGGTCCTTTAACATCTGCTCCCTGTATCCCCTTAAATTCAATACTGGAATATTTCCAAGTTTGCCCTTGAGCAGCATAGATTAGGACTCTTAAATGAGCTGGACCTGACTTGCCTCATTGCCACTCCTGCTCACAAATTTGCTCTGTTTTCTTGGTTATCACATATTCTTCTTTCTTTTCAACATGTGTTCTGCGTCCTTCCTGCATAAACAAGGATGCATTCAAGTAGCTTACTCTTGTCAGCTCTGGGACATCAGTGCTGATGTGAGGACAGAACTCCTGTTCCAGGGACAGCCGTAGAGCAAGAGGAGCAGCATCCTTTCCAATGGCTCTGCCTCCCTCATTCCTCTTCCTGCTCTCTCCTCTCACTCCATAGTCGTTTTGAGCCTGGTGACCTCTCTGTCACTTCCCAGGAGCCACCTTCCTGGATCATCAAGTTTCTCCAGCATCCCTGTGAACTTGGCACCTGACATCAAGAGCTCATTCTAGCTTCATGGAACATGAAACTTATTTCTATAGTATGGAATACCTCTTTAATAGGAGTCATAAAGACCTCACATGACACGGACAGTGCTTTCCTCCAAGATAATAAGGATACTGTCTCCTTCTCTAAGAAAAGGTTGGGCAAGTTAGCCAGTTTCTCTTAGAGAGTGCTGAATTTGGCATTCCTCAATTGTTACACAGACCTACTGCTCACAGCAACTAGACTATTCATGGTCTTCCTTCAGATCCCACATGGGCCTTGAGGAAGGGGGGAATCTAATGGGACCTTGAGCTCAGGCCGCCTGCTCTGACAGGAGGACTACAGTGCTTTATCCCTAATCCTCGAGACTCTTGTGTTTCACTGCATCTTTGAACCAACAGTCTCACCTGGTTGCTTGCGAGTGGAGTAAGCCTTAGCTTCTTCACAATTCCTTTATTACTAGCAGTTCTTGAAAGAACTTACACTGTAGTTTTTAATCATCAGTATTTAGGACCTAAAAATCCTTCATCTAACCTGCTTGAAACTGTGTTGCAAGGACTATACTACTGTAGCTCATGGAGCTCACAAAACCCACAGTAGTGGGACCTACAACTTAACTCCCCTGCATAGATCCAGAAAACGCTAGCATCCAAAGCACTCCACCTAAAAGGAAGGGAAACTGAGGCAGAAATAAGACTCTATGGTAACTGGAGTGTGTGCTAGTGTGTAAGTTTCACAGTCTTCCTCTGCCTGAGGATGGCTCATGCATGAAGACAACCTTCCAGTGATCTGCAAACAGTTGCACTTCTCAAGCTTCCCACACAAGCCACCAGGAGCACCCCACTCCTGAAGAACCCACTGTGTCCATCCCCAGAGCTGCTTTTTTTTAAAATTGGAAAGTCAGATTTTACAAAGGGAAGGAGATACAGAAAGAAAATTCTGTACACAGGTGCAGGGTCCCAAGGCTTTGGGCCATCCTCCATTGCTTTCCCAGGCCACAAGCAGGGAGCTGGATGGGAAGTGGAGCAGCCGGAGCACGAACCAGCTCCCATATGGGATCCCAGCCCATGCAAGGTGAGGATTTAGCCAGTAGGCCATTGTGCCGGGGGCTTGCCAAAGCTGCTTTTGTCAGTGGTCCTTGAAATTTTTATTGCTATTTTGCAAATCACTGGGGTATAAATGCCTAAATAGTTACTACTTTTATGAAAACCAACATTGTAGTGAAGATGTACTTTATGAAAGACAAGTCATTTGAGAACTTGCCATCAAAAAAAGGAGTACAAGGACCCAGTACAATGGCCTAGTGGCTAAAGCCTTGCATACGCTGGAATCCCATTTGGGCACTGGTTCATTTCCCACTGCTGCACTTCCCATCCAGGTCCCTGCTTAAGGTCTGGGAAATCAGTGAGAGATGGCCCAAAGCCTTGGGACCCTGCACTAGCATGGGAGACCCAGAAGAGGCTCCTGGCTGCTGGCTTCAGATTGGCTCAGATTTGGCCATTGTGGCTACTTGGGCAGTGAACCAGCAGATGGGAAAAACTTTCTCTCTGTCTCTTGTTTTTCTCAGTTGCCAATATTCTAGTTTCTATTCCTTGGAGAGGTAACTGAATTAGGAGGGTTCCTTCCTCAGGAATGAATTCATGAAGGTGCCATGCGAATGAGCCAGCTGCCAAGTAACTGGGTTCAGTGCTGCCTGAGGCCCATCCTTGCCCTGCTCTTGCTGGCCGCTGGCTTTCTGTCTTGGGATGATGTGGAGGCATTGGCAGCAGCAGTGCCTGATGCTTGGTTTCCTGGCCTCCAACACTAGAAGCTAAATGCGTTTTTATCCA